TTGAAAGCCTGTCAGGCGAGTGAAATTATTTGGAAGCTTGCTGCCTAAAACCCAAGAAGTCAACTATCTTGGTTCCATCCTGCAAGATAACGCCGAAATCGACAGGGAGTAAGAAATTGATCGAAGAAATGCTTTGCTCAGTGGAGAGAGGTGAGACAAGAAGATATCCATCAAGCTGAAGGGGTCATAACAACAGTAAGACTGGCACTTCCGTACGGAGCGGAATGTTTGGCTACCCAGAAGAGACACGAACAACAGCCGAACTCGGTAGAAATGCGGATGCTCAGATGGATGTGTGTCGTCAGCAGAAAGGACCGCATCCGACACAGTTTCATAGGGGTTACTGTAAGGGTATCACTAACTTCAAAAAAGTTTTGTCGAAAGCAGGTGCCGTCGGCTCGGTCAGGTGAAAAGAAGACCCTTTGTGTACTTTGGAAATGTAGTCCAAGCGTTGATACTGCCGGGGAAAGAAACGAAGGGAAAGTCGGAAGAAAAGGTGGCGCGATGTCGTCAAGAACGATGCGAAACTGCGACGAGTCTGTGAAAGTCTAACCAATGACAGAAAAATGTGGAGGAGATTGACTCGATTATCTGGCCCCTGTTAAGGAGAACACGCTGGGGGAAAAAAGAGGAAGTATTTTGTGAATTTATTTAAAATTAGATTTAAATTCGTAGACAGCCAAATAGTACGTCAAATGATTGTGTTGAGTCCAGAACTTCCAGCGGTGGCACTAATCTCCGCCAATACCGCTTTCTGTCCCTTCTCGTTCCTGAACTGTACACGAATAGAACAGTCAGGCGCAGCCAGTGCGACAACGTATGTGTATCAATACCAACGTAGGAGACGTTGAGAAAAGAAAATTCCTGTTTCCGGACGACCGCAGTTTGGCGGAATCTCACGTAGCGGATCTGCGGCGCCTTCTCGGTAGGTTCACACAGACTATGACTTGGCCGGGAGGGGTTTGATCATGTCTAAAACGAAAAGCCTGGTGCTTTCTCGTTCTCCCGCCCGTTGCGCCTTGCAGACGAGCGGATGAGCAATGGAACACGTGGAGCAATGCACATACCTCGAGGTTGTGCTTACTGGAGATGGAGAATTTGTGGAAGAGATCGATCAGCGAATTGGAGTGGTCAGCTGCGTTCTGCGTGCACTAACCCGAGTTTTTGTCAATAAAGCAGAGGCCAGTCTGAACATTAAGCTGTCTGTGCTTAAGTCCATTTTGACTCCGATACTCACCTACAGTCATGAGTCATCGGTTTTGACTGAAACACTTCGATCCCGGCCAGAAACGGCTGAATTTGCATTTCTGAGACGAAACTCTTTGCCAACGGATGTCGAAATGGTCTGCAGTGTAGATATCCAAAAGGGGCTTTAAATGCAGCCGCTGCTTCTCCACACTGAGAAGTCTCAAACGGAACCGTTAGGGAACGTCTTGCAAATGCTTCCAGAAAGTAAACAAAACGGATACTACTTCCTCAATCGCCGGCCGAAGGCCCTTGGAAAATCCAAGAACGATTCAGCGAAAGTGAGTAGATTGACTCAGCTTTTGTTTTTTCTGACGAAGGTCAGCCATTGGCATTGGACCGGGAACCTTGAAAACATTGTCCAACTCTGCTACCTCTGTGACCAGCAAGGAAACTCGGTCATAGAACAGTGCTGAATGAGTAGTCCTCTTCATGATAACAGTGGATCTAAGTTCATGGGTGATTTAATTTAATTAAACTCTATGCGTTTTACAGTTCATGCTAGGCAATGTCCGCAAGGTAGCCCGAATATCGCCACAAAAAGACAGTTATTAAAACAAAAATGGAGAACGGCTTCGGCCACCTCTCTGAAATAAATAGGAAACAGTTAAAATCATATTGTCAGCTATTATTATGCGTAGGTTCTTTAAACGTTTTCCTACAGTAGAATCAATTTGTCGGCTGAACAGCAAACTTGACTATTTGGAAGCCAATCGATGCCACAGAATTGACATGAATTGATTCACCCTCTCTATTTCTGATTCGACGTGATTCCTGCGGAAATGATGAGGCAAGTCATCCATTGTATACGCTCTCCATACTTGATTTGCTTGACAGTATCTCCGCTAGTATAATAATTAGACCCCTGACGTTTCTCCTGTTCTTGGAGACAGAGTTTGTGCCAGCGATTAATCTGTACTGAACCGTGCTGCTCGAGGCGCATACTACAGATGAAGCAATACAATCACATCTGAAACAACGAGGTTTTCAGCCTAGCTAACTTCAAAATAATATTCATAATATCTCTGCTGCTCAGGCACATGTCACTGGCATTGTTCTATCCAGTACTGTAATGCTTCACGGCTCCTTAGACAATCAACGAGGGTACCTGATCATGTACGACTAAACATCAGCCTCCAGCAGATGATGATGTCGATGAGAAATCACTACTTTATTGACACTGTAATCCTTTGATGATATCAGACTAAGAAATTTTCAGCTGACCATATCAACACCTTGCAGTTTTACCAGAAATAAATTCCTGCTTTGTTGGTTTACTAGCAAATCGCTAGTTTACAATACCGCCGGTAACAACAACATTCTCCTGCCATTTCTTCAGATTCACACGGTGTAGAGCACC